TTTAACATTTTCATCAATTCCTTTTTTATAATAATTTTCACAGTATCTACAGACTCTTTCTAATGTGTTATAACATGCTAAATGATAACCATGTCCACAAATTAAAATTATTACATCATCAACATTATCAGAAAATGCTTCTTTACAATGATCACAAATATTAAGAGATGGTATACATGATGTATGATAACCAGTTGGTAAGCATTTTATATCCACAATGCAATTAAGTGAAGCTAAATAATATGGAGGTGATTTCTTTGAAAAGGGTGGATTAACTTGACCAGGTTGAAGCATATAACTTTTGCCAATATTTTTATAAATTTCTTGGAAATAAGATAATAAAAATATACTGGTTTTTTTAACAAGAAATTCCAGCTGATTAGGCTTATATGGGTAAATATATGGTTTTTTAAAGGTATCAACAAAAACTGATTTATGGGAATCTAAAGAAATTCATTAAAAAATTAGTATGTTCATTTTCTTAATGTTTGTATATTATATATATATATTTGAACTTACCAATTACTAATGCCTGATTAATAATTGATTCTGCATTTTGATTTACATTAATATTAGCACGTAACCTGCTGTGAAAATTTTCAACATAATATTCATTGAAATTAACAAGATGATTCTCCAACACATTTGCAAAAGGATGTTGATTTTCTTTCCAGTATATATAATCTGAAATAAATGCCAGTATAATCTTATTATAATTTTTTCTTTTCCACCTAAGAGCAAAAGTCCAGATTCTAAATAATGTTTCTAAATATTCTTCAAATTTACCAGAATGAAAAAGAATCACATAAATATCTAGAGTTGCAGGGATTATATTATCTAAAAGGTCAAGTGCCATTCTATATTCCACATCTTTGCTATTTCCAAATTTATGCATAATAATTTTGGAGATTTTTTTCCAGCCCTTAGTAGCTAATTCCAATAACAAATTGATTCTCCATGGCTTAGGTTTTTTTGCTAATACTTTGGAATTGCCAAAAACATAATGGAACATTTTTTCAAAAAAATTATAATGGACAAGCAATGTTTGCTCACGTGAATTTAAAGAGACATGAAGAGGTCCTAAAAGAGGTACAAAATTTTGCATAATTTTTGGAATATTTGTTTCACCTTGATTATTCAACAGAGTAATGGCTTTTCGAATGAACAATTGACCAGGAAAATCTGCCACAACAGGTATGACATTCTGAAGGAGATATTCTGATAACTCAGAAATATCTGTAATCATTGAAGTGGCTTCAATATAATCTTCTAAAGAATGTAAACTTCTTTCTTGCAAGCCTATAATTCTAACATCCTTCATTGATCTTTCTTCATGTTTTCCTTTAATAGCATCATTATATACTGTACATGTATACTAAGAAGATCATCATTGTAAAAAGAATTAAATATATGTAAATCTTTGGCAATCCATTCATTTTTTCTGGATTGGTAACTAATATCAAAGGTTCCTTTATATTTATTAATAAGATAATGTTGGATTTTATGAGCTTCTATATTATTAGGATTATGTATTGAAACTTGTTCATTCATTGCTGATACTGGATGACATTCAACTTTTTTAGCTATACAACTTGCAAAATGGTTTAATAAATTTTTGTAATAATAATTTCACTATTCATGATTATATTTATTATCAATTATAATCATTTTAAAAAATTTGTCTTTGCAAATAATGTATTTTATTGTTATATTTATCAATTATGTCATTTATTATCTCATCATTAAATGAATTCACGTTTTGTTGTCTCATCATTAAATGATTAAAAGATTTAAAATGGAAAATTAATAGAAAACAAAATAATTCTTTAGTACAAACCAGTATGAATATTTATTTAGATAAAGAGTAGAGATTTTTTTGTTTTATCTTCTATCTGTTTTATTAAATTATTTTTTTATTTTTTTTTTTTTTTTGTAAAATTGCATATTTTGATAAGTCGGATCTCTTGATAAGCCGGACACCATGTCCAGCCATTTGTGTCCGACTTATCGAGTTTACCTATGTATAATTAAAATAATGAGTTTGAAAATCTATAATTTTATTCACAAGTTGATCTTGGGATACTATGACGAAAATCACACTTTTCTTTTCATTCTCATTTTTTATTATTGATTTCTTTCTATAACAATCAAAAAAAAAAAATACATGGTTCACTATTACTATAGAGAATGAATTTTATACTTATGGAAAGGAAAATGATAGTTATTAATACTACTATTAATACTATAATAAATTTTAGTAATTCAATTGGATTGCGGATTTTTGTGAGAAAAAATGATATTAGTAATAATAAGATCTTTTGTATTTGTTATTGTTATAATTAGTAATCCGATAAAATAACTATAGTAATAGTAATAGTAATAGTAATAGAAAAATTTGGTTTTGAAAATTTATCCGTTAACCGAGATCTGCCAAACCGAGACTCATCATTACCATGTATAATTTTTATATTTTTTATTTAACATTAAAAGTACGATTAGGATCTTGTTAGGAAAATTGAAGCATGCACAAGGACACAAGGCGTGAACCTATTAAAGCTGTGATAAAGCTGCACCACAAGAACATCCGAAAAGAAAATGCAAAAGACACTTGCATATGCGTAGAAAGGATAGCTCCATTAAATTTGACAATTAAACTTTAACGTTTAATGTTGTTTGACGAAATGTTACCAAAGTTGTAAAATTATTGTATCAAGTTCATTACCATCAAGTCAAAATGACGCTAATAAAATATAAAAGCTTACAAAAAAAAAAACTTGTAATATTTTTCTTGTGTATTCCAATCTCTCCTTTGTTTTTGTTGAATACATGATTGGGGTAGATAAAATCATCGCTTTATGTTCCAGGGGTTAACTAATTTTAGTGTATTAATTATTATCAAAGTCACTGTAAATAATTATGGAAGTTTAATAATAACAATATTTATTAATTAAGTTACTTTGCAATAATCTTTATCTTTATTCTTATTGTATTGATCAACGAAAATTTCATTAAAGATAACTTCTGGTCCTTGCAGAGGATAATTAACATTCTGATGAATAAAACTCCGATAGAAATCATTATTTTTATTAAATAAAATTAATCTTTAAATAAAGACATTGTCTTTATTTCCTTTGTTTAAAGTGCCTTGATTAAGGATACCGGCTGCAACTTTTGATGATGGTTGCTACCATCTTTGCGCCATATAAAAATGATTGCAATCGCCTTTACGACCATTTTGTTTCCTTTTTTGGATTGCGACATAGAACACTAGTTAGTTAATAGCAATCAACTCACAACAATTGGTGTTTGTCAATTAATTAGTTTATAAATTTATACTAATTTTCGATTACTGTCTTGTTCTTGGACCTAGACAAATCTGTAAGCACACTTAATAGTACCCAAATAACTGTTAATAAATAAATAAATAAATATGGCCCTTTTACAAAGCTATCAATTTCTTTTTATTCACTTGTGATCAATTTATTTTAGTCGTTTACATTTATTTATTGGCTGATTGCAAACTCGTTTTGGTTTTATTTGCAAAGCAATTTAAGAGTAACTCAAAAGTTAGGCCATAATTATTAATTAACTAAAATGATACCTTGCAATATCGCCATTTAACAAGAATCAGAAAACTGTAAAAAGTTTATTATTCAAAATATTGTTACATGATAAAAAATAAAATAAGGATAAAATAAAAAGATAAATAATTATAATGAATAAATTTATAGTGATTTAAATTTACTATTATTACTAGAATTAATTAAAAAATATTGTTAGTAATCTCCAATTAATTAGTAATGAAAATTTTATTCACCTTTTAGAGAAAAGAGTTAAAATCAAGAGCATTTAATGAACTATCATTACTTGCATAAATTTTTAAGCTTTTAGATTTAGCAATCTCTTCATCTAATATTCTACTTGTATGATATGCATCTGGATGTGATTCGTGTGCTTGTTGCAAAGCATTGCCACCACTACCACCATCGCCACCGCTGCTGCTGCTTCTATCATCATTGTTAAAATCAATTCCATTTTTTTTGATTTTTGAAAATTTGAATAACCCTTTTATTAAACTTTTATTATTGTTACTATTATTTTTCAAACTTTTATTTTTATTAATAATTTCTTCAAGTTTATTTTTAGAAAACTCACGCAGCTCTCTACTAGTTGGTCTTTTAGATGGATCCACATCCCAACACCTCTGCATCATTTGCACATAATCATCAGACA